TGGGCTGCATGCCTTCTGATGAAAAATCTATGCTTAGTCTTGTTGATTCTCCTTTGTATATGATATCTTGTTTTTCACCAACAAGATTGTTGCTTTTAACTTTTTGAAACATGCTAGTGTCTTCCCTTGCATATATTACATATATGTATATACATATATATATACATATATGTATAGGCAAAACTCTCTCACATTGTATACTGCCTTTGTGTTCCCCCAAACCCACACTTGCCTATCCTCCAGCCCATGAGCTCCCCCTCTTCTTTTCCTTTGCCACCTCTGTATCCATCAAAGGTTTCTTTTTGTGTGTAAACATTTTCTTGACTCTCTATAATAAATAACAGTGGCCTTATACAATAGTTTTGTTTCTGTGATTGATTTTGGTCAGCATAGTATCTTAGAGGGTCTCCTTTGTTATGAGATGTTTTACATATTCATGTTCACTCTTTAACAATGTATAATATTCCATTGTGTGCATGTTAAAAAAATCCATTTTTCCATTGCTGGGTATTTATGCTAGTTGCATCTTTCATCTTTTTTTTTTTTTTGCTACTGTGACCGGGATGTGTGTGTGTGTGTGTGTGTGTGTGTGTGTGTACACACACACACATTTAATTAGGCTATGTCCTGGTGAATTTCTTCTGGGGTGTATCCTGTATGGGGCTGAGTTTCCTGGATGGAAATCTTCTCATCTTTCATAATATTGGGGGAGTTTTATGCTATTACACTTCAAAAATTCTCTCTATACTTTTCCTCTTTTTCTGGAATCATTATGATTAAATCATTCCTCTTAAATGATGTCCCGCATAACCCTTAAGAATTTTTTCTTCGCCTTTTTTATCTGATTGTTTTACAAACAAATTTGTATAAAGGTGTGGTAGTTACATAATCTGACGTCAACTTCTGAAGGGCTGGAGTCTAGCCTATCAATCGGTTTGCAAGTTGATGACCTCATTTGGAGGCGCTAAGGGTATAAATAGCTCGCTGGAGGCCAGATACACTCACTCCCTGCGAGACATTCCTGCTGACAAGCCACATGGAGCGATGCTGATGGCAGTCGAGGCTTGAAGCTGGAGGAGCCACGTGGAGACCCACGCCAGCACTGAGATGCTTTCACCGCCACTGGATCTACAAGACTTTCCACCCCCTGGCCTGTGATCTTCCTACATTCGGCATCATTGCATGTGTTGCATGAGTCTGAGGAGGACTTTATAGATTGATATCAGACATATGGGCTAATATCAGACTTATGATCTGTACTGGACTGGGAAGTTTTCTTAATGTACAATTACTCTTTATATAAAGCTCTTTCCTAGACACACAGGAGTGTCTATGAATTTGTTTCTCTAGTCTACCCAGACAAACACACAAGGGATTTGTCCTCTATGTCACTGATCTTCTGTTTATTAAATTCCACTTCAGTGTCCTTCCATTGCTATTATCTAGTTCTGATATTCTGTTATTAATCTCCTGAATTTTTAGTTGTTTTATTCAGGTTTCTAGTTACTCATTTGGTCCATCTTTTTGCTCTCATAGTGTCCCTGTGAAGGTTTCCTCCCCATCCTCCACGCCCCCTTTTTTCCCCTTCACCTGCTCAAATCATCTTATCCTTCGTATGATTTGCTATTGTCTGCTTTCTCTGAGGGACTATTTATTTCAATATTCATTGCTCGTTTGTATGGTTTTTCTTGTCCAGCTTGTTTTGTTTTGTTTCGATGTAGCTGGGCAAGTCTGATGGGTAGGATTTACTGTTTGCTAGTTGGGTAGGTTTACTGTTTAAGGAGGGTAGACTGAGGCACTTGGGGAGGGTGTGTGTTGTCACCAGGAACCAATCCAGTGACACAGGAGCCCATGCTGCTTTCCACTGTGTGAGTGAGTGGGGAGATGATGGGCAGAAGGCATGTGCCCCCAGCAGTGGCCATCTGTCTGGCAGCCTGGGTAGACTCGTCACTGATCACTGGTGGACAGGGTGCTGGGTGGTTCATCATTGCTTTTTATAACAGCTCAATGTGCTTGTCTTTCATAAAATCTTCTTCCCCCCTGGAATATATTCTAAATTAATATTACATCCTTTTCAGAAAAAGCACATGGGTACCTTGAGTACTTTGTCCTTACTTAGTACTAAGGCTTGACGCTATTAGTTTTTCAGGATATAAAAAGATTTCCCATAAGGATAGTAATGATGAGTCCTGATGGTACAATGGGAAGTGAGGTGTTGGTAGTTCACAGTCGCCTGCTGTTTCTCAGCAGAAATGCTCTGGCAATCTCTTCACATACAGATGACAACCTAGAAAGCCTGCAGGGGCAGTTCACAGGAGGGCACTCTGAGTCAGACTCAGTTCAATGGCATCAAGAAAACATAGCTAATGAGCACAGAGAGCTCAAAAACAAAGTGTACATAGAGAGAGATTTAGATTTTTCAAGGTAACAAATTATAGGATAAAAACTATTTTCTTTTAAGGATAATACAGGCATTGTTGACATTTATTTTTTATTTTTGGGGTTTTTTTTGCAGTTGTCGGTGTGGTCCTTGCTCCTTTTCTGCCTTTTCCTGTTGTTGTTTTTTTAATTTCTGGAAATATGACATTTGAATCTGTGACTAAGTGTGGATATTCTTGTTTGTGTGTTTTTCCTGCTTGGTGTTAAGCAGATCTTTTCCATATAAAGACTAGAGTTTCTGCAGCAATTTATCTCCAGAAACTTCCCTTTTCTTGACTTTCTTGCTTGAAGGTTACTTTTGGTTACTGTTTTGTTCTTTTGTGCTTTCCCGCCCCATTTCCTTTTCCTTCATAGCTTTAAGTTAGGACTTGATCTTCTAGCAGGATACATTCCTGACACCCGTCTCTTCTAGTATTTTTGCCAAATATACACTTTGGTTTTTCAAGAGTTCTTATCTATGATTTTTATTTTTTAATAACAGCCTATTTGGACAAAGTATCCCCTGTGTCTCTCCTGAAAATATTAATTTTTAAAATGTTAGTGTTACCTTCTGCTTCTTATAATATCCATTTCCTCTAATATCAGTTGTCATAATTATTCATCTTGGCTTGTTTCTCTAATACCATTTTGTTGTTGTTGTCGTTGTTGTTGTTGTTGTTGTTAGGGGCCATGGAGTCAGTTCCAGCTCATGGCAACCTTATGTACAACAGAACAAAACACTGCCCAGTCCTGGGACATCCTCACAATGGTTCTTGATGGCTGAGCCCAAGGTTGCAGCCACTCAGAGGGCCTTCCTCTTTTTCTCCGTCCTTCCCTTTCCCAAGAACGATGTCCCTTTCCAAGGACTTGTCTATTCTGACAACAGGTCCAAAGTAGGTGAGACGCAGTCACAGCATCTTTGTCTCTAACGAGCGTTCGGGCTGTACTTCTTCCGAGGCAGATGTGTGAGTTCTTTGGGCAGCCTGTGGCACCTTCAGTATGTTCCCCAGTGCCATGAGTGTTCTGGCCAACCTCAGCTGTTCATTTTTGTAAATGAAGGGCTGGGATGATGAGCTCAGGGAGCCAAAGGGGGCAGCTTTCCAGGATGCGTAGCAAACAGGCTTCTTCCTGCTTGCTAAAGAATAGTGTTTAAATTTTGGATATCTTTCATTTCTTTGAACTTTCCCATCACTGTAATCAGATTGTATGTTTATTTCTTCCACCTTCCCTTTTTAGCTCAATATGCTGGTGCTGCCCCAGTGAACAAATAAGCTACGACGCTGTGGTCCATTTTTCTACAGAATGCTATTTGATTTGCTCTGTTCTTTTTTTTTTTTTCTATTACAAAGACTAGTTCAATTAGCAGATTGATATTAGGTCTACTCTATTCCTCTATTCCTGCTATGCTTCACAGTTCACTTTTTATAAAAGGTGAATTCTAGTCAAATATTCAGGCTGATTTTTAAAGTTACTAAAGAGGATATCTACATTTATTACAGAAGTAAATCCCTTAGGTAAAAACAGTCAACAAAGAGAAGGGCCTCCACCAACAAAAACCTTAAAGGGAAATATCTAACCCTACGCCAAGATTTTAAGTAAACATAATAAAAACAGGCTTAAAAAGGGATCTTTTGAGCAAACAGCAACATTTACAAATGAAGAGCTGAAACCAGAAACATCTCTGCATGCATCTCACTGGTCCAGTCTTCATCGTCAGAGAAGAAAACCGGGCCTTGGTGACAGCAGGTGGCTTCCTCAAGGCAAGAAAGAACTTGGTAACCTGGTCGTACAATGGCTAAGTGCTCAGCCGCTAACTGAAAGGTCGACGGTTCAAACACCCGAGTTACTCAACAGGAGACAGAGCTGTAGTCTTGGAAACCTTGTGGGGCATATTTACTCTGCACTACGGGGTTTCTAGGAGTTCAAATCCACTCCACTGCCACCACTGGTCGCTCCAGGCTATACATAGGATGTCATTGCCGGGCATTATCAGACATGCTGGTGGGCTCTGTAAGTAGTAGGTAAACGCAGACCGTTTTTTCTATCACTCAACAGGTCTGAACAGCTCACTTTTCTCTGATTTGCCTGGGGCACCTGTTTCCATTGCACCTGCCAGGTGGAACCTGGTAGGCACGGCTATCCTAGACTGCTTTCGCTTGGAATTTTAAAACTGATCAGAAAAAGGCATGGCTCAGAAATTATTTGGGCATGAAAAACGATCAACGCTATTTTCCATAAGATACTTCTGACCAAAAATAAGTCCAAAGGTACTAGTAAGCCCTAGTGCCACCAGAGGAAGGCTTGGGGGGGGGGGGGGGGGGGGGGGGGGGGGGCGCGTGAGGGGGGGCACAAATGGTTAATGTCTGCCTGCTCGTCCAATGGCTGGAGGGTGGAGTCCACTGGGCACTGCCTTGGCTGATGATGCACTTATGAAAGATCAGAGCCTTGGAACCCTCGCCCAGGCCCGCTCTTTGCAGATGGCACCGTGTTGAGTCAGAATCCACTCGACGCTGCAACGGGTAGTTGGAGTGCTGTTATTCAATAACTAGAAATCCCAGAACGAAAGTACAGTCTGTTCTTACCTTAGCATTTTCGATGCAGGGGCAGAGGGCCCACGCTGCACTGGCCTTCACGTCGGGGTGGGGGTTTTTCAGCAAAGACCACAGCAGTCGGACCCCATCTAAGCGGTCAATTATCCTATTTGAAAACAGAATGACATAAAGTACATAAAATACGTTAAGTTCTGATTAGCAGGTGGAATGAAAAATTCGATAGCCTCCCCAGGTACACGAGAGTAATTATTTCCCTCCTTTTGACATTTCTCTGGTGTTCCTTGCAAAACTTTAAGAACAACTTGGATGGATGTGACCTGCTGTGGGCCGGTCAGCCCTTTGATCCCAGTTTTAAATGTTTGACACAGCAAAAAGGGTGCATGATCATTATGAGCCATGTAAACTTAAAATCAAGCCCTGTCTTTTTTTCCTTTTTAATTAGCTGGACACAAACCGTTGCCTCAATTCAAAAATACTGGCCCCTTTCATGTTGCAACATCTAAAATCATTCCAAAACGAATATTTATATTTATGCCTCAAAACTGTGCAGTGACCTTCTTTATTTGGTCTAGGTTTACTTTGCTCACTGTGCTGTGTGACATATTTGAAGCCCCTTCTGTCTTAATTGGGCGTTAGGAATTAAAATCATTACCCCACAGTCCGTCCTTTGTGGGGCACGAATAACACAGAACTTGTTTCCCATGTGTTCCCCTACAAGCAAGACTAACATTGCACACTGGGTTATAATTACTTAAGCATACTGTAATCAAACTATCTTCGTGACTAGCTGAGAAATGAATTATCATCAGAGTCATCTCTACACCATCTGTCTTCTGTTTACACATCAATCAGTCCAGGGAGCATCACCTCACATTAAGGTCCACCAAGTACTTTCAGTGCAAAGGGAGGCCAAACAAAACTTAATGCCCTTTACAAACGTGGCTTTGTTCAGAGAGAGAGCCCTTCAACGGAAAAGCAGATGAAAAAAGATAGAGCATCAAATATGCCTCTGGTTTTTCATCTCAAGTTGAATTAAACACATGGAGTATTTAGCCACAAGTATGATAACTGCTATTAGCTTTAGATGCCATTCAAATTCTTTCTTGGAAATTGATGTAAAAACATCCACATCTCTTGATTATCTGAGATGAGTTTCCCAGAAAGAGAGAGAGGGCTGGTTCCAAAGGCTTCAAGAGGAATATCAGTTTTGCATAACCTTATAAAATGATGATGCAAACAACCCGCAATAAGACATAGACTGTCTCGTAGACTTTTGTTTTAAAAGCGCATTCAGAAAGCGTTTTAGCTTGAAGTTTAGCTACACATTTTTTTCCTACCTTGAAATATTTTCTGCCATGTAATATGAAGACAAAAAAAAATTTTCTTTCTCAAAGGTGAAAACTCGGCTTATGAGAAGAAATATACTGGGCATTGCACAGTGAAGAACTTGCTTTAAAGAATTAAGTGTGAAAGGCTCACTGTCTTACATATACCACTGAAAATATAACTAGTCCTCTCTTATGGTTCTTTCTATTTTCATATTTCATAAGTCAAGTTCACAATGAAGGGTGGTGATGGATAGTCTGTCCTACCCACTTGCAATGTTAACCATATCAGTCACATGAGTAATATTTGCCTATGCACTGCTGGATATAATTCTTCATTAGTCATTTGGATGGCACACAGTTTCTGGTTAATGATGACGATAACAGAAGGCTCGCTCAATTCTGGAACCTCCCCATAAACTTTCATAAGGAACTGAAAAATTGCTATATTTATTGTAAAAATAGATCAGTTTGGCCTCCGCACTCATCCCTAGGCGATTCTCATCAGCTGTTTAGTTGTAACAATGATACCATCATGAATGTTTTAGAAGAAGACTCAGTACAGAGTAATAACCTCATATTAGGAAAAGGTTATTTCAGAGCAGTTTATGGGAAAGACTAACAACATCAGAGGTAGCATCAGGAAACATCAGTCAGCAAACTGAACCATGCCCCTTCCACCCTCCCTTTATCCCACCTCAAATACTCATGCCATTGAGTCCCATGTGGACTCACAGAAATCCTGTTGGACAGGGTCAAACGGCTCCGGTGAGTTTCTGAGACTATACTTCTCTACGAGGGTAGAATGCCCCGCCTTTCTCCCTAGGAGAGGCTGGTGGTTTTGAACTGCTGACCTTGCAGTTAGAAACCCAACGTGTAATGACTACACCCCCAGGGCTCCTTATCCTCTATCAAATCAATCACTGCTGAGTTGACAACAACTCAAGTGCCTGTCTCTGCTTCTTTCCCTCTCCCCGCCAACACTGAAATCCCCGGACTCCTTCCCGCGCCGGCTGCATAGGCCATGCAGACTGCCGAAAGAACCAACAAGCGCACCTTAGAAACAACCAGGGAGGCTTTGAGCTGATTCAATCCATTCCAATCACCTGCTGACACGTTATATTTACACCCCAGGTGCACTGCATTAGAATCCCCAAGATTCCCGATTGATTGTTATGCATCATTAAGACTCACCTGCCTACCTATAAATCATGAGGCTAGAGCAGCCTGGGCAATGTCTTCTCAGCTGTCCGTAAGGTCACCAGAGCCGGCTGGATGACAACAGAGAGCCAGCAGCTGGGCAACAGTTGCATTGCTTGGTTTTGTGCCTTCAGTATTTTTCTGTGCCAATCTATCTTACAAAGTCCAGTGAGACTGATCTAGAGCCTCGGAGACAGTCATCTGGCCATTGCAACACCCATGCATCCAGTCAACACGTGTTGAATGATTCACAGCCCCATGTCGCTCCCATGGGGGAAAAGTCTACCATTGCTTACATGACCTATGATATTAAAAGGTCAATTCCTAAGCGTGGTATTTGGAATTTCTAGTGAGCTGATTTAACACTCCTGATTCACTACTTTCATGTATTTGCTCATGAAACACTCCTTGATCATCTATTAAGCTCTGAGGGCCAGAAATACCGTGTTAAACAAAACCAGGACACTTATGATTATATGTATTTATACAGCGAGAAAGAATATAACAGCTACCTGTCCACAGAGCAGTACAGAAGGTTCAGTTCAACTCACTTCCGTGGAACAGTCAATATACTGGAAATCCTTCAACTCACTTGGGCCAAGGGTCCAAGGTCAAGGAAGCAGACAGCGGAGTTCTCCCTCAGGCAAGGCAAGCAGAGTCTGCCCACAGGCAGCAAGCAGCAGAGGAGGTCACTAGCAGTCAGTAGCTCCGAAGCTTAGCGAAGCTGGGATATCGAACGGCAGCAATACTAGGCGGCTGGATCACCAGCCTCAAGCTCCAGCAGCGTACGCACCAGCAGCGGGCAAAGCAGGTCTGGAAGGAGCCTCGCACTCTAACAACACGTCCCTAGGGTCAGCCTGGTCCACAGGCTCTGTAGCTCACAGGTTGAGGCAGAGAACTAGCTAAAGCAGCAGCACCTGCTGCTCCAGCACACTCCTACCACCAGAGAGCCAGAGAGGGGGACGGGCCTTGCAGAGCCATTGATCTCTTTGCCCTCCAATCAAACTGCAACCTGATTACCCCCACATGTTCCTATTGGCCAGCTTGGTACAATAAACCTACCTATCACATGCCCAAACCAAGACACCACAGTCAAGTATGAGAGATAAATAAGACCAGAAACGAGGCCCACATTCATGGAGTCCATGCTGACTCATACAGACAAAGCAGGACTGCCCCAGAGGGTTTCCAAGGCCATATTCTGCAGGCAAGCAGACTGCTACATCTTTTCCCCACAGACCGGCTGTTGGATTCAAACTGCTGACCTTTCTGTTGGCAACCAAGTATTTATTCACTGTGCAACCGTGGCTCCTTTGAGGAGCCAAAGAGACGACTTCACTCTATCACCATAAATACTGCACTCGACATGTGCACGGGGTTTTATGTGAACGCAGCAGAGAGACAAGAGTTTACTCATCATACCATCCACATCCTCCTTCAGCCTTTGTCGGTGACATCCCTTTTATTATTATTATTATTCATCTTTTAAAGCCTACAACAAATCTCTTGCACCAATCAGCTGGCTTCTCCTTTGCTTAAGCCTGCACTGCGTTTTGCTCCCTGCTCCTGACTCCCCTAACACACTGCCTTGTGGCCACATCTTCCTCTGTCTCTCACAGTGACTACGTGCTGCCCCAGCAGCAGGAATCCGATGTGGCTCGACATGCTTAGGGCCCACTCCTAGCGCCTATGCACGTGTGGTAAATGGATCTGAAACAGGCCCACCATTGTGGTCTCCTTTTTCCAGTCATCAAAAACCTTTCGCCGACACAAATCTTCACGTGTTTGCAGAGTGGGGCGTTCGCGTTCTAAATCACACCATCACGGTATGTTTGCATTTGCAGCTATCTCAAAGCGCATTTCCCCAGAACTCCTCCAACACTTGATGGTTTCATTCATCTACAGGGTGGACGGACAGACATAGAGAACGGTCACCCAATGGGCTCCAAGCCAACATCCCCTTCAGTATGCCAGAAGGAAATAAATACTGCATTAGCCCGGGTCACCCTCACAATGGCCAGGAGAGGTGGCCCACTGCTTCAGCTATTGTGCTACAGCATCCCTCCAAGGGTCTCTCTCTCTCTCTCTCTCTCTCTCTCTGAGGGTCCACTGATTGTTTCAGAAAACGCGATGCCCTCGTTCTGCCATGGGACCCTCCTGGTGATGTGTCCAGAGCAAGCAAGCTGGGCAGTGTTCTCTCGTGAGCCATAAGATGTTCATGTTGGGGGGATATTCGGAAGTAGACCATTCTTTCTAGAATGTCTTAGTGTGGAAGCGCCAATAATGAAGCATATCCACCGTGGGTGGCACTGCTGATTTTGGAATACTGGTGACATAGCTTCCAGGATCTCAGTAACACACAAGCCAACATAGTGTGATGCATCGACAGACAGATGGGAGGACAGACTGATGCCACGCGTACGGCCATCAAGTTGATTCTGACTCATAGCAGCCAGATGGCACAGAGCAAACTACCCCTTCCGGTTTCTGAGAACGTACATCTTTGTTGCTCTGTGGTCAGTGCCACCGCGTCAATTCTGGCTCGTGGTGACCCTGTGGACAGCAGAATGAAACACTGCCAGTCCTGGGCCATTCGCACCGTGTTCTTACCTTTGAGCCC